GAAATGCGAGCAGACAGGCCAATGTGCGCAGCGACAAGAGTACAGAGATGTGATCTATGGATACTAAGTCTATTTCGGATTATCTGATACGGCGACGCATCTCCGTATAATGCGTTAACGTCACGAGAACGTCGGGACAATGTTATATTATGCTAATAAAGAGCGCTTGTCATCCATAGGCATACAAAATAATCCCCTTACAATGTAGATATTCTCATATTTTTGTATCTACATATTATTTTCATAAATTTACTTGAATATTCTGAGTTATTTCTAATTTATATTAATATGTGCAAGAGGTTTAATTAGATGAATATAAATATAAAAATTTTAATACGTAAAAATATTGAAGATTTTTATTATGATACATTAAAAAAATAAATATAAAAAAGGTCTTGTCTTTAAATCATTTTCTTAAATTATTTATTACGCGATATATCTAGCATCTTTAAATATCACATTTTCTATTAACAGATTGCACACAAGATTGCATTTACTTCATAAAAATCTACATTTTGATCCATTTGTGTCTTTTGATTAGTTAGTTTTTCTCTTCATTTTTTAGATACCCTCTCTTAGTTTATCTCTCCAACGCTCATAGTAAGATCCACATTGGAGAGAATCTGAGAAACCAGGACGAAAATTGGAAGAAAAGAAAAGTGGCCAATCGACATAGTCGCGAGGTAAAACTTAGAGGAAACGAAGTAATGTGAAAGGATGGTTGCTCCACAGGAGATAAAAGTAGCTTTTGGATGGCACTCTGGTCTACAACGACCACGCCACGATGAGTGGAAGAGCTTCTTTTTAGATCAGACTCGATAGAATGTTTGCTCACCGGACGAATGTTGACGTTACATGGCATATGAAGATAGTCCGATATAATCAAAGAGATATATTTTCAACTATGCGACACTTCTCTTTTATGAGAATATATCAATCATATTATTAAAATATTTATTTGTAATTCTTATTTATTCATAAATAGATAAAATTTAAAACATATAATTTAAAAACGG